AGGGAAAACTTTAGTTTCCCAGGCTTTAACCAACAGGGCATAGTGATCCTCCTACAAAGATTAGAGTTATTTAGAACACCAAGAAGAAAGGTTAACAGCAGCTGTATTTTCCTTAAGAAAGCAGGGAAAACCCTTGTGTGGTAAAACTTAAAAATCTGAATTACAAGATGTGTATTTAGAGTAGAAATTATAGCAGAGAGAGTTTGCCATGTTCCTCACCCGGGGAATATCGTCATCATCGTCATCATCACTTTCATCATCTGCAATAGGAGGTGGATGAGGATCGGGGCCCGATGTGATAAAGTTCTCGTAGCTTAGTTCCATTTTATAGTGGCAAGATGTGTCACTGTCATATTCTGCAAAACACATACAGAAATAATGAGATCATAATACACTAGAAGGCATGCAACAATATTCCATGAATTTTTTGAGATCCATGGTTTCCAGTCACTCAGTGGAAACATAATGCATTTTGACAGAGCAGAACCAATCGGCCGAGTCAATCAACTACAACATTTTATTGTAATTAAAGCCCTAATAAGATAGTTTCTCATTGTAGTTGCATTAATTAAGAATAATTTCTGTGTCCATAATGGAAGACCAAAGTAAGATTCTTTTAATTGCCTTGCCTAAAGTCAAATAAGCATGTATTTGACTGTGCTTATTGTACTGCTTTACCTAAGCAGGCAGTACCTAAGGACTGCAGACAGGATGTGCTTAAATCCTATTTAATAAATTGTAATTTCTCCTAAAAAAAGATTAAAAAAAAAATTAATCATCACTTTACGTTGTTGAGCTGTAGCAACAGCAGCAATTCTACAAGGAGGTCCATGGTTCCCAGGATCAGAAGCTATGCTGGTTCCAGCATCGTTATCACTATCAGAAGCCATGGCAAAAGGCAACGCTTCAAAGTTGGCACTTATTTCTTCAGCAAGGTCAATGCACAGATCCGCAGCGTTCCTGTGAGCCTGTCCTTCAGCGTAGGCAAACTGGCGAGACCCAAAGTTAGCACGGACTTTGGTGTTCTGAAAGAAGATGCACATAAAAGCATTACGGATGATGAGTTGGGGATTGGTTTGATCCTTCTCTTCACTCTTTTTTAAAAAAACAACAACAACAAAAAACCCAGCTCAGCCAAAGGGATAAGCTGATCACATCTCCATGCCACACAGTTTTCCCAGCGTTGCCAGCTGTAGAACTGGATGCAGCAGGGAAAGTATTAATCTTCTAACCACAAACTTGGAACTTGCCTTTTTTCTAGCTTCAAGACACAGCATACTTAGCTAGTCTACTGAGAAGCAAGGTCACTGCTGGGAAGGAATAGTAACACAAGGGCTACTAGCACAGAATAATGTCACCTCATCAAGCCAGCTGCACGTTACTGTCCTAATGGGTAGAAAAAGTTCCAAATAATGACAAAACATACACGCACCTGGGAAGGGAAAAGGAATACCTCAACTTAACTCAATAAAAGTTAAAACTATCACTCTACTTTTTATAGATAGGTAAGCAAGCTCAATACTTTCTATATGTTTTTAATATTTCTGAAAGAATACACATCAAGCAACATATTTCTGTTAAAAACTTGCCTTTTTCTGAATGTGGACAACTGGCCACATTCCACCAGAGACATCTTCCAGATACGGCCCAAGGCGCTGCCCACAATACGTAAAATAAACTCTGCCTTTAGCTGGCTGCCCTGGAGGGGGTGGAGTTCCTTCTGTTCTTTCCCATCCGATTCCTGCTACATCACCTTCAGAAAAATATAATCATCAAACGAAGAACACGGATTTAATATGTTTTCTCATCCACTGTTTCCCTTACATTTAGGGGATTTTCTGATTTAACAGATAAGCAAGCTTGCTGTACTCTTACATACCAGGAGAAAGAGTCACATCCAGTCTAACACTCTTCCACTGCAGCAAGCTGGAGCCATTGTAGTGCACTGCTCGCCCATTACTGAGAAGTAACACAAGAAGAGAATTAAAGAGAGCACTGAAACCAATCAGGATTACAATTCACTACTAGCTGAGGTCTAGATAGCTGTGGTACTTACAAAAGGCAACTCAGTTCCCTTTATTTTGATACAGAGATATTCTAATTCGTAATTTCAACATTAAAATCTCCGTGTTGCCTAATACAGTGTGCTCACAATACTCCTCCCTAAGGAGCAATAGAAATGTGCTGAGCAAGACCATGGCTTTTGATGTACATCTGCAACGTACTTGTGAAAAAGACAGGTGCCCACTGGGTTTGTCCAAGCACCATCCCGTTTTTCAGCTTCTGTAGCAAATCCAAATGAAACTATTGGTCCAGTGTCATCATCTGTATCTCCATAGGAAACTATTTCAATTTCCCAGTAGAATGATGGTGCCTAGAAATAAAAATAATATTTAAAAAAAATATTTACAAACCATAGGTAAAATAGAAACTTTAAAAAACATTTACAAAATATAGGTAAAATATGAAATAGTGAAAATCTCTTTTCATGCACTATTGAATATTAAATGACACTGTTGTACAGTTGTGAGTTCTCACCTGTACTGGAACTGGTGAAGTGGCATAGATAAATGTGCCCCGAGGAAGTCCCCCACCTGCACTAGGATCAGCCAGAAAGGTCACAGCTGTGAGATGCGATGAAAACATGCACGCTCGCACAGGGGGAAACACTCTTGATGGGCTCCAAGTGATTTCTTTGGGCTACAAACAGGAACAGAGCATTTTATTCTACCAATTACAGTTGAAGTTATCTACTGAAATCCAACGACACGTTTTTTATGAAGCGCACATTGAATACAATACGTGCAACTACCACAACTGCAACCACAACTAATCGTGTCCCTTTACAGAATTCACATTAACTGAAATGTTTAAACAAGAATCCAGCTAGTTTGGCTCCAACACCACAGGCAGGTGTTCTGCATTCAGTGGCTGCCTTCATTTGCAAGGGGCAGAAGACTCAGCATTGTTTCTGCACTCACCTGTCTTCTGTCTGCTTGCAGTGGAGGAGGGGGAGGCCGAGCACAGTCACGATACAACATTCGTAATCTTTCACACTGCATTTCTACAACAAGGAGCCTCTCCCCTGTAACGACAAACCAAGTCATGAGGTTCCAAGGAAATCTAGTTACTTAAGTCCAACAATGCAACTTTAATACCGGTAAATAGAAACAAACGTGACATTTGCATTTTTAGAGATCTGATCAAATAGTCTCACTTACCTAATCAACAAAATTAAGGACAAAATCTAATGCATATGAGCAACTGTCTTCCTCATGTTTAATTTATATTTGGTTAGCAAAGACATTGTTATGTTAATTAAGGTATAAATTAAGGTATAAAGTTCACTTTAGTGAGCAAGTTTATGACCCAGCAAAAGCAGGAAGTCAAAAGAATTTACACCTACTGTCAAAAACTCAGTATGCTCCTTTTACACTGGAGATCACACTGAAATCCACTTGGTTCCTACCCTAACACCCTTTGCTTCAGCCACTTTTCCTCCAATGAAAGGCTCTGACATGTTCCTAAAATTTGTCCTCGAACTAAGACTTCTGCTGGGCCCACTGTTTATCCACAGAGGGGAAGGAAATCAAGAGCTCAATGATAAGGAATATAAAGAAATCATTGTAAAAACAGCAAAAAGGTCATAAAAAGAAAACGTATAAATGATAATGTCAGGGAATACAGAGTAGGTTACATTTGGAAGCAAGAAGAGTGGAGAGGGTTCAGAAGCAGAATAGTAGAGAGCTGGTCTCAGGACTTGCATCTTCTGTGATGCATAATATAATCATGTTCTGGTTTAAACTTATTTCCTAATGTTTAAATTATTTAGTCTGGCTATTAGCTACTCTCAGGTTAACAGCTCTGCAGCTGTAACAAGACATGCTGTACTGTGCTAGCTATCATAAACTCTAAGTAGCTGGAGGACAAAACACACAAATGATTTTAAAAGCTGTTATGTCTCTGAACTGAATACTACAGTGAAGCTGCAAGAACACATTGAATACCTACCAGGGCTGCACTCCTGCGCTACTAAATTAAGAACTTCTACAGCAGCTGGACACTGTTGAATGAATTCTTCACAGAATGAGCTGTCTTCTAACAGCTGAGCCATCACCAGGCATGCTCTTAATGGAAAAATAATACGTTTAAAGCATTACAAAAGAGCACACCGAATTCAAAGTTCTCTTTATATGTCTTAAATTCAGGATTATTTTAAAAGACAGCATGCCAACTGATCTATGTCTTTGTCTGGTTGCTCAGCTATCCATTGGAACTTCCACAATGGCAGCTTTCCCCTGCTTCACACAAAGCATTCACTCAACGCATTGACAGCGTTACAGGGGGCACTTCATTTTTGGTGCTCATTTTAACAACATCCAGACAGTAAATGTACTTAAGGAAGCAAACAAGAATTTTTGCATTGTCCCTTGCTGTCATATGCTGGTATCAATAGAGCAAGAAAACAAGAAGCCATGCAATTTTCTTGAAGATTTGTGTAGGGTATCAGAACAGACTGGGGTGCTGCACAAAAACCAATGACTCACCTGGTTCTTATTTCAGCAAGAAGCCGGACCACTGCCATTACTGGAGTTGAGCCATCTCCTGTTGCAGGAAGTGAGGTGTGAATAGATAGACTTCCCTCCTGAGGAAGCAACATGGACTGGACTGCCTGTACTACCTTCTCAGTAATGGACAGTTTATGAAGAGGCAATGCCTGATGGTGGGGGGGCACGGTAAAAAGTTAAATTCAAGTAGTTAGTTTCTAAGAAATGAGGGAGTTTTATTACCTGGAGTTAATTCTCATTTTGTACTATCACAAAACCAGCATCAAACACCAGTCAAAAAAACAAAAAAAAAAAAAAAAGGAAAAAACAGAAACAAAACAAAAGAAAACAACACAGTATGCAATGGAATATTTTTAAGCACCAAAAGATGAATATCCATGTTACTTGAATAAGAACTTAAATATCAATATTGTTAAGATATGTTTAAAATAATGAGGCAAACTTTACATATAATCTTCAATCAAAGATGAAACACATTTTTTACATGCTGTAGATTAATTGCCAGTATGCTGTGACACACACACACACAAAATTGATATTATACTTAATATTGGATTCTTAAAACTACCGTACCTCAGATCTTGGAACACAGAGCCTAGATAATGGAATAGTTAATGTGTCTGATGCTTGTGAGGTCTTTCTACTGTCTATACTTGTAGGTGGAAATTTGACCGTTGCTATACCTTCTTGTTCATTAATAGATGCCACAACTCCAATGCTTCCTGCTATTCCTTTACCTAAAACCTACAACCAAAGAAAGTCTGCTTTACAAACAAGAAACACTGAATGTTTAACACCACACACACCAACTCAACACACAATTAGAGCTGGGTATTTTATGAAACAGGAATAACACACAACAGCAATCTCCACAAGTTTTATTGCAAGTGCTTCACAAACACAGGCAACCTGCACACTGCTTCACAAGTACGCTGCTGCAGGCAAAACATCGTCAAAAGCACCAGTTCTCATTTAAGATATGTGCACAGTGCTGAATTACCTGAACTTCAGAACCTATTTTAATGGTCTCCTTAAAGCCACCCAGAGCACAAAGGGCAGCTACAGCCTGTCGAGCAATTCTTTGAAGTTTAGCAAGTTTCCTTCCACTGCTACTCCCGTTCTCCAAAATACTCTCTGCATATTTCCCAAGTTGGGGAATGTACATCAGAGCCCGAGACAGAACCTGAAGACACAAGCAAAAAATACCAGAGAATGACTTCAAAGCACAATTCAAACAAAAAACAAGCCTCCAACCCACACACAGTCTCAGAAGAGTTATTTTTGTTCTTGAAGAGAATTATGTAACTCAGAATATTCTTAAGTTCTCTGAAGCGTGAACACCAGCAAAGCTGGCTCCATTCCCTAATACCTTTTAAAATCAGAGTTACATATATAATCTTAGCAAAGGTCTTCGCTCAAGGATTTAGCCTTAGTAACAGATTAGGTGCTACAGGATTCAGGGGAACATACAAGCAATGTCCTATACTTCCCAGTCAACACGTTAGACCCTCAGAAGTCATGGCAAAGAGGACTGAAGACCAAAGGCAGAATAACTGCCCAGTAAAGGCAAGATAACTCCCTAAACACACAGCATTATTAATTATTGAAAAGAATGACAGATGAATTACAGAATGACAACACATTCTCTAATGCTGGATAATTTTTGGTTATTTATTCCACCTTAAGATGCCAGAGAGATACCACTTATTAGAAAGGGGTGCTTCTATGAAGTTAAAAGTAGTAAATTGGAAAGGAGCAGCTTAGGAAATTGCACCAATTAAGTTTTCTTAACTATCAATGCATGTTTGGTGTAGAATTCGATACCTAATCTTCTGTTTGCTTACTTTTTCAGCAGTTGTGGTCCATATCTGAGCTGCATTTGATTCTGGTGCCATCAACAAGCTATGTAGCAAAGCAATCACCTCTGCTGCCATGCTGTTTGCAACATGGCCACTAATGAACGGCCTCACAGGATCCGTCCTACACAGGAGAACAAGGACATTTGCCCATTAATGTCAAAACACGAGAAGGAAAAGAAGCTTCAGTTGACAACAACAACACACAGCACAAAAAAGGGAAGTTTATGAACACCTAGATTATTTTCTAGAGCACTACAAACACTGGTATACAGAAAAGCAGAATCTAGACTCTAACTATAGAATCAAAGTGACCTACCTGGCAAGCTCAGAATTCCTCTCCCTGCAAATAGAAGTCTGTGCTGTCTTCTTTTTGTCCCCAGTGGACAACCCACTGGTAGTTTCTGGATTGACAGTTTCTATGGGTGGCCCAACACTAACTATCAGACCAGACTGTGCCCACTTAGTTGCCTTTCGAAGAGCTGCAGCAGCTTCTTCTGTAATAACTTCACAGCAGCCACTCTGAAAATAAAATTGCCATATAAGAGCCAACATTAGTATTGGTCTATTTGGTCACACTATGGGATGCATTTAACTCTCCTCCCTCAGCATCTGTAAAAGTACTGAGAACACATCAAAGCATCCTCCTGTGTATGTAACAGTCACAGTCATAAAGCAAATTCTTTCTCCTGCTTTTTCTCATCTACAAAGAGATGAGATCAATGTGGATTCACTGCTTTTAATATTCCATTCTTAACAGTATAAATTTGCTTTTCTGATCAAACAGCCACATATGAGTATTCCTGGTGCAAATACTCAAGAATATGTTTGAAAATACACATGAAAATGTAATTTAAATATGTGGTTTAAAATTTATACTATTAAGGTGCATTAAACACTTCAGGAAAGAGAATACTGAAGGGGCTTAAACATGATCTACAATGGCTGGGGGAAGTATTAGCTGAAATTCTTTTTCATCATTTACCCTTGTATTTACATCAATAACTACATAATACTAACATTTACATAAATAATAAAAGTTACCTTTCTGAACAGTTCAGCAAATTAAAGGAATTTAACAAAGGGGATTTAACAGCAGTAAAAACCAAGAATTCTCACTGGCTACTGATTTTTACAATGCTGATTAATTCTTCAGTTATTCCTTTTCTTACTTTTGTCATGTCTCGATCCATTTTCACCACTTTCTCCATATTGGCTCCAGTTCCTAGTCGGAATGGACGACCTTCTGAGCTGCTATTATAGTGAAAATAAATCACATTAGCTTTGTTTTACTGCTGGCAAAAACAGCTGAACTATACAGTCCATTTTAATATTTTATGCACATTTTTAAATGATTTGAAACCAACTCTTGCAACTTAATTGCTTCACAGTAACAGAAATACTTGATAGTTAAGGATATACCCAACTGCACTGTAATTTAAAAAAAATAGTTTAATACTACTGAATGTAGTTATTTGCATAGCAATTTAACCCTTCCCTCCTCAAAAAGAAGCATAATGAAATTGTTTTTTACTGAACACAAATGCCTGCAAGCTCCCAGTTAGCCTTTCACCTAAGAACACTCAACAGCTCTAAATTTTTATATCAATTTTAGGGCACGAGTTCAAAACCAACTTGGAGTGGGGGAAGAGGAGACAATAGTACAGAATGCAAGAGGTGATAAACGCTGGCTGCTTGACACGCAGAGATCTCAAAATCCAAGTGGGTACTAAGAATACTAAAGAAGCTGTAATAGTAAATTATTATCCAGCATATGCATTACTAAACACAAGGTTTTTAAAGCCATTTTGCTTTGGTAGTTCTATTTGTTAGCCCTACTTAGTCTGCAATACCAGAACAAGATCCATTCAATTTTCCTCACAGAGCATCATTTAAGTAGCACTAAAAAAAGAAGATAGATGGAATTGGATGAATTGGTTGTTAATTGCAATCCAGTAAATTAAGATTACCTTAATAATGGCTGAAGGACTTCATGGGATGACTGGTCTTCCCGTTTATGAATAAAAATAGAAAGTTTACCATCCACTGCCTCACTTTCTTCTCCAGGATCTTTATCACCTTTTATGGAATTTTTAGGGCTGGCTTTTGCCAAAGTCGTATCCGGCTCAGAGGCAGTTGGAGAAAGAACTGTCTGGCATCCTTGAAGTAGAAAGGAAAAAACCAAATCAAAGAAAAACACACAACCATGAGCTCCATCAACAAACTTTCTTGCCCTTGAAACTAATGCTAACAAACCCGAGATGAGTCTAAACATCACTGTGACACACACCTTAGTTTGACAGCAATTAAATTGAAGTCACAGAGATATCCTATCTTTTAACACTGACATATCATACACCTTTTCCTACATGAGCTTTCTGTCAATACAAAAGCTCCTTGCAGAAACATGACTTGCTTGGCAATTTCTCAAATTAGCATGACACCAAAAAGATGCTGGTACCTGGTACTACATAATCCGCCAGCTTTGCCAACAGCAGAGAGGCAATCTTGGAAGCTGGGTCACTGGGATCATCCTGTTCACTGTTCAGAGAGGGTACAGAGTAACTCCAGGGAGGCAATTCCACATTTCCACAGTCCTCAACACTCATGAGAGGCAGAGCAGCACGACACAGCTGGAGGATTATAAGGACCAACTTTGGAGAAGGACGCTGATCCAAGAGAAGTGACAGAAGCTTGGACACACAGGCTGGCTGGCTCAGGATTGCTTTACCTATGTGACTCCTGAAAGGGAGAAAAAAAAACCCAGGTAACTGCTGCTTGGAAGAAAAAAAAAAAGATTGTTTGCTGATGCTCTTGTAAATAATAAGTTCATTGGTTTTCAAGATGCAATTTTTAAAAAATTTCAGCATCTGACAAAACCTTATCTGCAACAATTCTTATATAACCTGATAGCACTGATTAAACATTGTCAGCTTACAATCAAAAAACCCCACAAAACCCTAAAAGAACCCCCACCTGCTTTCAAACATAGAAAAAAATACTTGAGAGACGAAGGTCTAGTACCTTGATAGGTCATTAAGAAGACTGAGAACATCTTGAAGTGCATCATTTCCTGCAGCTTGATTACCACAACACTCTGTAGCCCGAGCAAGGTGGTTAGTAAGAAGGCTGGAGACCTGACGAGCCAGACCAGAGTGAACAGCTTCTGTAGAACCACCTTTAAAATGCAAGAATATACAATTGTAATTAACAAAACTGAATTTACACATCTACAAATTCCTTCCTCGTAAAATTAAAACAGTAAAAAAAATGTTTTGTTTTGTTATAGCAAAACATTTCTATATAAAATGTCTTTAAAAATAAAACCTGACACAACATCTGTGATCCATTAGCCAACAGCCGTGTGTCTATAAGTTTATGTATATTACAGGCAAATCCCAACACAGTAAAAATGTGTAAGTGATCACGCAGGGTCTCCTGGTTCTATGGATGTGCCTATGTAGAACCAAGTGGTAGACTTGAAATTATCTGCAACATAAACACTCCCACGAGAAGGAAAAGCTAAAATTAAAAACCAATCAAACAATATCCCCCCAAAAACAAAACAAAAAAATTCACAAGAAGAAGAAAATAGACTTATTTGTGTATCCAGTTGTGTGTGCTAAAGAACCCAAACAGGACTGAAGCCGTGGTGAGTGGATACCCCATTTTAAATACATTTACACCACTTCTCAGGCACTTGTGCAATTCTAAGGTGCACAGTAGAAATACAGTTGGCAGTGTTCCTACCTTCTTCTTTCTCCCATTCAACACAGCGATTGGCTAGCACCTGGAAGGCAGCCCAAGCCATGGTGGCCACCTTCTGTTTCTTAGTCTGTTTTTCATTCGAACTAGATTCTGTCTGGCTGCTTAAACTGCAAAGTCGGTCCATAAGTTGCACCAGGCCACTACGTACCAAACACTTCTCTTCACTCCTGTATGAGAAGAGAAATTCAGATTTTACTTCAGTAACTTTTCAGTCACTAACAACAGACACAGTGAAAATCCAGAACTTGCTGTTAACTCAGCAATCAACTACTTCACTTTGCAGAAAGATGGTTCTGTCTCTCCCTTGTCTTCCCCAGATTAAATTCTGTATTCTGAGAAAATTTAACAGGATCTTCTCAGATAAGAGAATATATTTATACTATATAATGCTTCTTCTTAGGGCAAAACCTAATAAGGACAGCTGTGGATGCCCTCCTTCCCTTTCTGAAGGAAATATTTCATACCTTGTGTAAGGTATAGTGCACAAGAGGCCAATGCTATTTGCACAAGCAATGGGGTAGCGAGCACACAGCGAGACCACAGACGTCATAGTCTCTCCAAAAGCTTCCTGGACTTGTTCCACCATCCCGCCACATGTGAGCTCTTCAATTCTGTTGGTAGTTAGATATTGAAAAGATAGGGTTTCTAGGTTAAACAAAATGAACAAACTTCCAAATATAGCTTAAAAAAAAATAATAATCAGCACATATTAAGAATGACTCAAGGAAGATTTAGAAGCAGAACTGCAAGTCACAATGCTTTAACATGAACCATATATAAACAAGGTAGTATAGTAGTTTTACCTCAGACATGATTGAAATTTTACCACAAACAAAATATTTGAAAAATATTTATCAAATTTAGATGACAGTATTAGCGTCAGCTAAATCTACCACTAATACCTAATTAACATGAGTTTTTAATTAAGTCAGGAGAGTAAGATACATATCCATACAGATACATATCCACACCTGTGGCCATATTATCCCAGTATGAAAGGAAAGTTCATCTGTTGCCAGATAAAAGCATTTCTTCAAGTTTCTGCCTTTTTACCCAACAAGGGCCAATAAAAGTAGTTGCTGCAAGCTTTGTTCTGCAAAATTGAGCCCTCACAGCTAGTCACTTCTCATGGTTTTTCTTTGCGCAATGCAACTTACGATCTTCTACAGAGACTGAAACATTTAATTATTTTTCAGAGAAATAAACAAACCTTGGTCCTCCCTGAAGTACCATGGTCACTGGGCCTACAAGATGCGTCACACCACCAACCCGAACAGCTGCCGTCAACAACTCTCTCATATGCACTAGGGCTTGCTTCCTTGTATTCCCACGTCGCCACCTTGTCTGAGCAGCTAGCAGAAAACTGCTGCTGGACACCTAGGAGATGTTGGTTGTTTGTTTTTGTTAGTGAGATATAAGCAAGACACCTCCCTTCTCTGTGAAAGTCTGCATTTGAAAATAGAATGATTGAGCACATTTAAAATGACGTACTGCTTGGTCAGGATTTGTTCCAATGAAAGCAAACAGCTGTCCCAGTAAGACACTGTAGGTGGGTTTATCTCTGCTGTCCTCAATGGTCAGGGACTGGAGAAGAGTGAAAGAGCTGCTTCTGTGGCTGGTAACGTGGCGGCGCCTGTGAGAACAGAGGACAATTACACCTGGCAGCAGTAAATTGATCCAACGAAAATAAATTGTGCAATGCTTGCCAAGCTTCTGATGACTTTAACAACACAGGCTGAATGACTGTAAAGCAGCTTAATGGAATAAAGCGTTGCATACCTTTGACTTGATCTAGCAAACTCGATATCTTCATTACCAATCATTTCTAAGTCAGATGGTGCTGACATACTGCGAAGGAAGACGGGCTGGCGGACTGCGTGAGATATCACTTTTGTTTCAGATGCTGATTTACAGGCTGCAATATGACACAATAGGAAAGAACATCACTCCTGGTGTAGGAGGTTATTTAAAAACTGTTCTTAAAGTCACTGCGGACATTTCAATGAAAGCTGGAACACAGGATGGGGAACAGGCAGTCTAACAGGAACCTGCAACTCAGGTCTGAGGACCTTCCTGTTTTGATTAAGTTAAGCTTTTTTTTCCCCCCAATAATTCAGGAGACCAAAGTTTAAATGCCACATATCATTACTCAGACCTTAATTTACCATCATTACAGCAATGAGAAAACAAAGACACAACTTCATTTACTATAAAAAATTATTTAATTTGAAAAAGGAAAAAAAAAAAAAGTTTAATTTTAATTTAAGTGAAAGATGGAAAAATAAGAGAAAAGGAATAAATTATATCTTTAGGAAAGAAAAAAGAAGTATAATGTTGGTAAGGAGATATATACCTGGAGTCTCTGCAGGGGTACCTGATATACTTCTTGTGATACCAGACTGTGCTGCAATAGTGACATGTAATAACAGCTCTGCTCTGTTCATCAAGCTCTTAACCAAAGTTTTTGTTTTTGCCAGGGGATGAGAAGTCTTCTGTATCAGTGAATTCACCTCTTGAAAAAACTTCTCCCTGAGATTATGAAGGAAAAATAAAAGAAGCAAACTCAATTAGGTTTTGATGCTTTCCAAAATAAGGTGTTACTGTGAGAAAGGTTATTTTAAAGAAGACACATAGCACCAATCTATTCTATACCAACAAAGTAGAAGGCAGAAAAAAGTAAACAAAGTCTATAAACAATAAAGTAAATAAGTGATTTGTTAGTAAGTACTCATAGCTGTGGCACTAATATTACTATATTTAGCACAGATATTTCTAACAATTTAATCAGATATTGCTAGATAGACAAGAAAATTAAGTTTTAAAGTATTTGCATTCCTGGTTAGAAGTTCATCTGAACATTCTACTCTCAAAGATTGTTTTCTTTCTATAGGTCTACCAGCCTTTAATGAAATTAGACATAAAATGTTTTCAAAACATTTAGTGCCAGCTTCTGTTTCACATTATTAAGTGTCGCAGGGTACAGAGAGATTTGAGTGCCTACTTCAATAAGCATTTATGTGTGTATGCAATTTTAACCCTGCATGGCTACTTTTGGAACCCACTGAAAATCCACAGCTGCTTAGCGCTGCCTTTCTCATGGTACACCCCACAGCCAGCTACCAACCTTAATGCCAGGACCACGTTCTCAAGATCACTTCCATCGAAAGAAACCTCTTTCATTGAGCACAGAAGCTCTAGTTCTTTCATCTTGCTCTAAACAAAACGAAGGAAAAGGATGAACATCTCTTGAGAGAGCAGCATGAAGCATGAGCGCACACACAGCAGCCACAACGCTTACCTCATTGAAGTGGTAATCGTAGAAGAATGGGATGTTGTTCTCCAGCTTCCCATGTGTCGCATCATCTACCTCATTCTGCCACTTCTGCTCCAGCTCGGCCACACTCTAATAAAAGAGATAAAAATAACTTATTGTAATTGTTCATCTTAAGGAGTAGAAGAGATCTTAAAAGAAATCTGAGCACATTTTGTATTTCTATGTTTCTAAAATGCTGTTAACACACCTTCATCTCAAAAAAAAAAAAAAAGCCTTATGTTTTTTTAAGGTAATTTTATTTTTACCTGCAATTGTCTCTCCATGGCATTCAGCTTCTTAAAGGTCTCTCCCATAATTTTACAAAGTAAATCATATTCTTCAGCATGTTCTTCCTGATACTGGAAATTTATCAGGGACTGGAGCGCATCAACCAAATTCAAATGTTTGATCACACATGAAACTACCATCTCCTCCATGACTTCTGGCTGAATCACCTCCCTAGGGTCACAGGTAAAGCCAAACTGATTAAGCAAGAGTAACGGGCAAACTCTGACAATTCATATTTACAATTCACTAAATGCTGCATGCACACACAAATATTTCCAGAATATTAAATGTGTACCATCATACACCACAGGCACGCTGCATCCTCACCTTCGCTTTTTTAGCTCACTTACCTTGGCACCAAGCATTTTAAACAATATAAAGTTAGAAAAAGAGAGCAAAATGACTACTTACTTTATACTAGGTCTAAATTGAGGCCGAGCACGTCCAGAAATTTCCCTGAGTTTTATCATGATTCCTGGAGGCAGTCTAATCCTAGGCAGATCAAAATAGTGTCCAACGGGAGGCACTAGAACATCAGAAGGATATGTAAATTCTCTGTCTTCTTCTATAGTGAGAGGCAATGGAGAGGGACTTGGTGTAAGGGCAGGAGATATTACACCATTAGCTTCCACCTGCCACTGGCACCTGGAAAAATAAATAAAAATAGATTAAAAGGATTTTTAAACTTTTTTTCCTAACTATCTCCCCTCATTCAGAAAGACACATCAGTCAACAACACATTAAGTATAGCTTGTATCAAGCATAGCCCAATCCTCCTCTGCTTACTCTAAAGAAAACCTCTATTCTCTAGAATTCTCCCTTAGTTTCAGGTAACACAGAACTGCTGAACAAACTCTACAGGAAAAATTATCACCTTAAAACACGAGACTTGAGCACAACTACAAAAGTCACCTTTCCTCAGAAAAAAACCCACACAGGAACTCAGATCAATTTTTTGGTTTTTACCTTTGTAACAGTTTAGATCTTAAGAGCTCTTGACAAGTTTCTTCATCTTTGGTAATTTCTGGTCCATTGTATAATATTCGCAGCATAGAACAAGCTAACACAGAAAGGCCAAGTGCCAGGTCAACTAAGAATGGCAAGCCTCCTGACACATCCTCTGAAGACTCCTGTAGGTAGGAACAGTGATAAGTTGCACTCATCAATCAATCATGAAGTCCTTCCCCAATATATTTCAAGATAGGAGATTTTATACATAAGATTATATATAAAAATCTAAGAGATATAAATATTTATCAAGTGTGTCTTACACAGAGGTATACTGAAAAAATGCTTTAACAATTTAAAGCAATATACAAGAACAACTCAAGACAAGAAACAAAGGATTTAAACATTATTTTCCTGAACCAAGAAAGAAAAGAAAAGGTAAACTTATTTCTGGTTCAGTCATTTTCTGGCCTGCAGATCTGTCATCTCACAGATCTAGTTCTAGCTTCAAGTTTCCTTTTGTTTGATCCCAGCGTCCCTCCCCTCTCTTCTTTACATGTTGGAATAACTATTTCCTTATTAAATCTCTGATTTACAGGTTGTTACATGACACCCATCTCGCCAACGAAATCCTGATCTACAAGCAGCAAGAGATATGGAAGCGACTTCATTCAAGTCCAGTGCCAATGACAAGAGATAGGCAAGACATATTTGGTAATAAATATCTTCATAAAGCCCTAAGCATGTTACAGACTATGCCACAGGGTAATAAATATCTTCATAAAGCCCTAAGCATGATACAGACCATGCCACAAGGTATCTCTAGCTAAGGAAGCCAAACATCTATAACGTAGGTCCTTTACATGGTAAAACAATGGTTTGTCTTACTGCCAAAGTAAGCAAGCTATCACTGCTTTAAATTTCAACCATTAACTTCCAACTTTGAAGTCCGTTTCTATTTGATCTGAAGTTTGTAATGGAGAGAATATAAATTACAGCTGAACCTGTCCCACGGAATCTGTCGTGTTTGAGTACCTGTGCTCGAACAGTGCAAGCAAAGCCCCACATAGCTTTGTCTGGAGTGTTGTGCTCACGACCACTCCGCATTTCAAAGGAGAAGGTGACTGTATCTCCTTCCACCTTAAAATTTTGATGGGGAAGAGGGGAAAAAAAAGAAAAAAAAAGAAAAAAAGAAGAAGATACATTTCAGAATTGAGGCAAACAAACAGGCTTTTCATAAAAGTGGCTTACTTTATTGATTAATGCCTTTAACAACAGTTATCTAAGTATTATTTTTATCTCCAATTTTACACTCTGCTTTAAGATTCTTCTCTTTTTGTAAGGATACTTTTTAGTGGACAAATTGATTTTAATTTTCCTTCTAGCTAACTATAGGAAAACAAAAAAACCACCATAGCTGTAGAATCAAGAGTAGAATTTATCAGTCTGTGTTACTTGGCCTTGATTCTCATCAAAACACTTTAATTATTTGTCTGCAAGAAACCATGCAATAATCAACAGTTCTCTTCCTGAAGGAAGACAAACAAGCTCTTCAAGAAGAATGTCAACACATTAATAGAAGAGTTTGCTAAACAAGCAGTATAAAAATTCATGTCTGAAAAATAAATTATTTCCATTCATTGCATTCAAGCACAATAGAGTGCTTGTCTGAAATTGCTTTCTAGTTTATTACTTTTTGTTTTTCCTTTTGAAATTATTTTTTTGTTATGCAAATAAGCCCAATTTTAGTGTAGGACAATGTAGCAGCACAAACAGACAAGAAAAAAAATCATAAAAATAAAAATCTGAGGGAACATACTGCAAAATTATTGAAACATTGAAGTTTCCAGAAGTTTGAAGGATTTTTCTGTCTTGGCTTTACTGCCAAAAGCATGCAATGTAATTTTAAAACCCAACACAAATGGTTGGACAGTTGCTACATTTACTACTTGTTATATTTGTGGGGTGCTGTTAAGAAAATGCAGCCATGCCCACAGACCTTAAGAAAATATGCACAGTCTGAGGCTGTGCAAGCAGCTCTCCTAGGAACATACACTTAGGAGAACAGTGGTGCCATTAGAGGCTTCAGGACTGAAACGTACTGAGAGTTAATTCCAATAAGACATAACAAAACAAGATAAGCTCAAAGAGAAGCATCACACATAACATACAGTTGAGATTAAAGTTCTTCCCCAAGGACATGTGATCTCATCATGGATAACCATACACTTAAAAGCTTAGACTTCACTGCTATAAGGGTTAAAATGGACTCGACATGGTTTCCAAAGGGGGTTTTTCAGTGTGAAATATTGTTGGATTATCATACTGTACCTTTACTAAGTCTTTCGGCCAACCAGTTCCTAAGACACTACGGCTGCCATATCCCAGTGTATTGCCTCCATACTCAGCAACCTTCCTACTGTTTGTGTTAGGACCAGCATAGATCACCAACTTCAAAACATAAAATACACTGTTAGACTGTAAGAGAAAAACAAGAAAATCTAATAATAATAATAATACTTAGCACTTACACCGCGCTTTATATTTTCAAAGCGCTTTATCAACATTAACAAATCCTCACAACAGCCCTGTGAGGTGAGTAGGCAAGTATTATTATCCCCATTTTACAGATGGGGAAACTGAGGCAGAGAGGAAATTGAGTGACTTGCCCCCAAGGTCACACAGCAAGTCAGCAGCAGAACTGGGAGCAGAAATCAGGAGAAATCCTAACTTCCAGTTCTCATGCTGAGCCATCTAGAACTTACTGTCTCTCTACTAATAAAGAGATTGATCCTGCTCCTATCAAAGTTATGAGTTTGTCAGTGACTTCAGTGGGAACATGATGAGGCCCAAAGCTTTCTGGAGGAGTTTAACCAGTAATAGGTGACATTAATATTAAAGACACTTATAAATAACTGATGGGAGCGAGTACTACAGGACTTGCTCTATGTCAAAGAATACATGGCAACAATTAGTAAGCAGCCCAAGTAGCTCTCTGATTATACAAGGTAAATAAGTGCTATTTGTTGTGTTCTTGAAATTGAAAATACTTGTTCATATTAATTTGTGTAAACAAGCCATTTAACATCGGGGGGGAAGGGAAGTATCCTTTCCAGTTCTGCCCAGTTTAAACAAACTGTGCTGATCTACAAAGTAGACAGCTAGAGTAATATTTGAAAAGTAAGGGAAACTAACAACAGCAAAAATGAGAAGGAATTCAAACTCTGACAATCTGAGCCATCATGAAATGAACTAAAAAAAAATAAAGAAATTAAGAGTTGGTATGAATTTCTGAGGGGAGAGAAAAACTAAAACAAACCCCCCACACCCCAAAACCCCTTACACCTCTGGAGCCTACTGTATTTCTCCCATTTCATAACTACCACTACTTCTGGCATCTTTTGAGGAAACTTCCTCATTACAGGTCCTAACTCTTAACAAAAGATCCTCACAGCTGACAGGTTTTAAACACTGAAACAATCACTGGATATCATACTATGAAACAATGCACAAGAATTAAGCATATATTCTTTTTGGATTGTTCTTCAAAAATATTAGAAATTAAATACAAACCATTTATCTTCATCTTCCTGCCTTTTCATGTTAACAAATCTTTGTACATTTTCCATCATTTAGCTAAGTTTAATCTTAGGATGAAACTCAAGAATTCTTTTGAAAAGTTATTTGCACTTGTGCCACACAAGAAATAACCTCTCCTCATCCCTGTACTTTACAGCCTGGATGTAAGTAGACTCTGACATTACAGTGTACACTAATAAGCTCCTGTCATTAAAAACCTCCTGCATTATCCTGATCACTGGAAATAAGGTGCCATGAAAGACAAAGGGCAGTAGAAATTAAAATGAGGAGTGCTGCTGACAGAAACATATGTAAAAGAAAGAATTTCTGAACTGGCCCTCGCTTACCTTATCATAATCATATTGTGAAGAACATCTGTTGTCAAATCTAAGATATAAACAGCGGGCTCCTGGAATATGGACAGTTTCTTTAAATTTATAGTTATCCCTGACGGGATGAACTGTTTCTACAGTCTTCCCAGCAGCCCAGGGAGCAGGGATCTTCAAACCCGTAAGAAAACCAGGTTCTTCTTTCTCTTCCAGCATTCTGAAATTAGAGTGAAAAATCATTCCTCAAATCCAGCACACCGATCCCTACTTTGCATTCAGAGATCAAACTATAAAGGACTTTAAATCACCTCTCAGTATTGATACCTAGTGACACAAAGTACTGACTCCTGATTTTGGGCACAACTGTATTGAGGGAACATGCAGAACTCTCTACGTCAGAAATAACTACGCCAACCTCTAACCTGTAAAATCTGAACTTTGCCCTATGCTTTCCAATTTCCAAATTATGGTAAACAAGCTAATTAGCACCATTAAAAAGTAAATGGTACTATGTAGAGATTCTGACACATGACTGGTAGCATAAAAAAACCCCACTTTCCTCCTGGGACAGCACCCAAAACAGGTTATACTATTATAAAAAAATATGCCTAATATTTCACTGAAGCTTATAATTTGGAAGAGGACTGAAAATGAATTCTTCAGAGTTTTCCTACAATATATTACACATTATCACATGTTGTTTATTACTACAAATTCTGCAACACTACAAAGAGCTGTGATATGCAATTCTTATTTAATTTAGCTACGTGCTTCTGGTTTTTAAGTAGAAGCTGTATCACTTGGAGCTGATGCAAATGCAGGACTCAAAATCGTTGTACTTTGCTATGCAAATGAAACCATTTAATATCTTTCCAATAGTTTTAATACTGTATCTCATGCTGCCAGAGCAATTTACATTTTCTCATGATGGTCTTCCTTAGCCTAATTTATTGTAAAAGGAACACTTAGAATTAATTCCTAATGCTTGAAGTAAGGCAAAAAAAAAACAATACCCTGTGCAAACAATTTGAAGATATTCATTTAATTTTATAAGCCAACAAATTTTAGAATTAATTGCCTTTTGTTAAAGCTTCTGTGTCTCTAAAGACAGCCTTATAAACCATTACAGCTTTGCCTTTAAAAAAAAAATAAATAAATGCTGCTTTAAGATTTATCCCACAGCAATGGTCAAATGAACATTACAGCTAAGATATCTGATCCCATGAAAAGACCCAAATGTAAAGAAAATCACCTCTCATCAGGTAACAGCTTCCCCTTCTGTTCTGATGCACCACTGGGGGAACTGTTCAGCTCTGAGAAAACTGGAGACTGAGTTTTAAGCAGCAGTGCAGTCTGTGGCACAAAATAAACAGTTACAGAAAAATACAGACTGTAAATAATTTTAAGATCTCGTTATTGAAATTTACTAACAATCACACTGTAAGTTTTTTATTGACAATAAATCATTACTTAGTAGCTGTTGTACCAAGTCAAATTTGATACTTGGCATCATCAGCTTTTGTAGCTGTAAACTATGATCTGTGGATCACTTACTGCAGAAAGCTGACCAAGATCTACAGCACTGTCAAATATGCATGCCACATCTTTTATCCTTTGCAGACAAGTACTGACACAAAGACCATACCTGACTTGTGTAAAGAACCAGCTGCACCAGCTGAGGCATCAAGGCATCAGCCATAGTGAGAGTTTGCAAATTTGGATGCATCAGAGATGTCAGTAGGACAGGCAGCAGATGACCAAGCATAGTAGCCTTCGTAATTTGCTCCAGGCCTTTTAATCTGTAAGGAGAGTCAAGGTTTACATAGTAACAACTCTTTTCATAGAGTATCACTACTATTTTTAGTCACCTGTTTAATCTTGTAACAGACTGCATAAGTATGCAATTAAAAATTCAGAGAACACTTGCATTAAAAAACAAACAAACAAGAAAACAACTTAATACCTTGAAAATATTACAGTTTTTCCAAGGTGTCAGTGTCCTAGTCTTTGCTGTCAACTCTTACTAAACAACGATAGACCAGGAGACAGTAAATCAAGAGTTTAATAATTGCTTAGAAAATGATAAGCTCCCATGGGCATGGGATGAAAGTCCACACCAAACACAGATGTATTAGTTCAGTATGTGTAGGAGACTCCTAGTGCACATAGCTCAAAGTACTTCAAAAGAACGTGTAGCTACAAAAATATATTTGAGCATGAAACCCATCTGAAAATATCCCAGAGGAATTGTGTATTATCAATAAATAAAACTAATCTTGTGGGCACAGAAAAGCAGAGAAACTGAAGTGTGAAACACAACTGGGAGAGGGAAGTGTTTGTTTAACTACAGAAAAGGATCACAGCTTTTGTTTACATCCCATTCCCAACACATATTTTTAGTGGAGGGGAGATGGGGAAGGGCAAGCTGATGCTATCTGATGAAACATGCAGGATATCGTAACAACATCCAAGACTTGTAACGGATAAAATATCTAGTCCAGCTATTAGAAATTAAAAAAAAAAAATTAAATTAAATTTTCCATAGCTTATAGGAATATTCCCAGCTGCCTAAATACAGTTTGTTTCCAGTTACCGTGCTGATAAATATCATTGTAACTGACCAAAACCTTGCCAATTTGAAGTTTCTACAGATTATCAAGCTAGTACTACTGACATGGAGAGTCTGATTGTAAATACTTCAAAAGTGCTAAGTAAATTCTGTACTAAGAAACTTCCTAAACATTCAAAGCTCAAGTGTGAAGTTATGAAGAGCAAGTCATGCTACCTGTGCTTGTACAATAAGCCACAAAAAGCAACAGTTTGGTGTTTTCAAGTTAACACACTCACACTTTCCTTACCTTTGCTCTCTATCAGAAATGTCACTGTTTATCAGTGCTGTAGTGACTTGTTGTAGCATTTCTAAAACTTCATCACATCCTGTCAGAATTTGCGTAGCAAGAGACAAAATGCTGGTCTTTAGCTCCTAGGTACAAAAAGAGTTATAGGATACTTAAATTCTTAGAAAATACAAAAAAAAAAAGGACAACAGAACAAAACGATGGATTTCCAAATTAAAATAATGATAATGTGACCTGGCAGGCCTGCAGCAGTAGATTCATCCAAGACTTAAATTTGATTAATGCTAAGACCCAAAGTGCTGGGAGAAACTAGGTGCATCTTTTACAGGATGCACATTCAGTTTCTAGAGGGAAGGAATCCCCAGGTCCAGCACAGGAGAGCTGTTAGCCAGCCAAGGTACAGCATTGGTGACAGAATGTCCTAGCAGGTATGAGGATCACTGTTGAGAGAGAAACTGAACAATGAAAACATGGGTGAATAGTGAGACAAGAATCACAGGATCACAGAAAAGCACTACAATATTTAGCATGTACTCAATGAGCCTGAACAAACAACTTTCAACTGCAGCAGTTTACAAGTGCACAAAGTCTCAAAGAGCAGCAGACAAAACCAGCTTAACAAACAATACCAGAAATTCAGAAGTCAATACCATTAAAGAATTGTTATTGTTACAGAAACTACTATGGCAGGACAGCCTGTATGCTGGGCCAAACCTGGCTTCTCTGACCTCATTCAAGACTATTCCAGCAGTAATATGAAATTACACCATTTTAACAAGCCTTATACCAACAGAACAACCACTGTCCACAAACCTTGTCCTCTAACAGCCTCCTTGCCACAAATATTATTCATGTTATCTCAGACAACATATGTAGGTGATTCTACATAAGCTTTGTGAGTTAAAACTGAAAAAAAGCAGAAGCCAGGTAAGGCAAATGAGAAAACTCTTTCCTATTTAAATCTGAAAAATAGTTTTTCAAGGACCACCTAAGTGATTTGGAGAAGAGAAAGTGGGGGGGTAATGTGTCCAAAAAGGATTCCTGGCACATGTATTTTCTTACTAGCACGTATTAATTAACATACATTTTAAATCTCATTATATTTAGGAAGGGAAGTGTCTGCTCTCACTGACAATATAGAACCCAAACTGCAACACTGAACACAGAACAATTGCAGACTTTAGCTGGAGAACAGGAAAAAACTATCTACTGTAACTTAATTCTATCAAGAGGAACAGAACCAACAAAACAGCCTAAGCAGAAAGCACTGCAGAAACAAGAGGTGTCACAGGAACACTGACTGTAGAGAGCCATACTAGAATAAAACTTGGTGTTTACCTGTACCTTCAATGTCTCTCCCTGCAAGGAGCTGTCACTGTCATCATTTTCATCAGGTTTAATCAAAATAGTGTTACTGAGGAGGTGGTTCTGTACAGCCATCAGATACCGCAGACACGAAGATGCAGCCTTTAACATAAATAAGTACACTTTACATTATCTAAACCCTTTGATCAACCTTGATTCAGGCAACCCCTGTACTTTGAAATATAAAAGAGGAAAAAAGTTGAGGGAGAGGACAAGCAAAAGCAAAAAAATAATTTCCCTTGAACAGAAGGGGTTTTTTTGCTGATTTAATGCAAGCTTCTTAATTCATATTTGAGAAGAAACCAGTTGCAAGACACTGAATTTTGTAAAATAACGTGCAAAACATAGAAAGCAGCAGTACTATTTTATTTGAATATATATCATTACAGCAATATTCAAGTACAGTAACATTAATCAATTCTTTAAAGATAATGCCACCACAGAGGTAAATTAATTCACATTCCTGAAGGTGATGGTTCCATCCTACCACTCCTTTCCCATCCTCCTCCACTCCATGACTTCCTGTCCCCTCCCCAGTGTTTGCACTCGGCCTTTGCCATCAGCCAGATCAGGGAGCTGATCCTGCTGAAAACACCTATGCATGCTTTTACCATGGAAGCAGGTAAATTTTCACTCATTTATGTCTGTAAATAATAATCCTTTCTGCTTGTACAAATCATTATACGCAACTGGAGAAGGAGTTTATTTTGGTTTTTTTAAGTTGTTGTAATGCTCTGAAGATTGAGACAAACTTCCTTTAAATTGAAACAGCTACCAGAGTAATTGGAAAATATATCCACATATAAACCTGTTCTACCATTACTGTAATATTTACTTTGCTGTAAGGAACAGTTTCTTCCTTCTCTGCACAGCATAAACAAAGACATTCTTTTCCTGTATTTGTTAAGACACAAAGCTATAAAAATTTCACCTCTATATACTCAGTGACTATGATAGATTTAAGGAGGAAAAGAAGCCAAAGTCAAACATACTTTTATCAAAGTACATTTTACTTACAGGCACAGTTGAAAGAAGCCTTTGAAAATCATCTTTAGATACAGTTTGGCACTTGGTGATTAAGACACAAGATTCTCGGACAACAATCTTGAGAATGTAGTGCAACAGCTCATCATTTAGTCTTCAAAAAATGTAGGAAAGAAGCAAAATATTAATAGTCTAATTCTGATGGATTTTGTGTAGCTCATCTCAAAAGTCTCTGCAAGCTGTATCACAAATTATGTGAAGCCAAAACAAGTATCTGTTCAACTTCAGAGACAGACACAAAACAAAGCAAGCCTGAAATGTTTAACAACAATCAATGCAACAGATTACCAGTGATTTCCTGCACCATGCTGATACAAATCCGTGACTCCTAATGACCCCTAAAAAAAGACTCCTCCCAACTTGAACAGGTACTTGAGTCTAACAGCTTTACTGCTGAAAGTGATCTAACGTGGTGACATGGACAGCAGTGTCATAATATCACACATGTGAATTATCATCCATATTTACCACAGACATGGTAAGCAGCAGGGAATCCAAAACTAATTCTGTGTACACAAGTCTCCAGAGTTCCCCCTAAAACATCAAACCTCTCTCTCTCCCTCGTCCTAATGAAATCCTACAGACACAAAGATAATGTTCCAGGTCACGTTGCCAGTGAGATAACAACCAATTTCAGCAGAATTTCATGCAAGTTTATCTAAGGCAAGTAACAGAAACATACATTATGAATGGGGAGGAGGGGGCGCATATTGTTGCATTTTACCTATAATGATCATCATCTTCACTTCCAAATCTGTTGTTCTGAAGCTGTTCAGCTAAATTAGTCAGGATAACGTCACGAAGTTGAGAGAGACCGCTATTTCTCTCTCCTAAAAATGGAACACAAAATCTTTTGCAAAACAGCATTTCACAGAATTATTTTATTTTTATTTCTTCAGGTATCTTGCTTAACATATGCTACTTCTCATAAATTACTATATTTACAGTGTACCCGATTCCCTGTTGATATTACAGACTGTTAAAACTTACTCTGCACATAGCACTGTTTTAAATTCCAAAGGCTGATGCACAAACACGCTCCTATGAAGTAACAAATGACTGTGCATCAGCTGCTTCCGAGTCCAGACTCCCATATCATGGTGAATGCAAGTAGATTATTACTCCTTCATGAAGGCCTAAAATTACCTCTGGTTACTGTGTAATTGCCATGGGTAACACCCCTGCTAACTGGGTGTTCTAAGCGACAACCTGGACAAGAAACTTTACTAATATTGCCAAAAGAGAACTTTAATCCTTTTCAACTTGGAACAGCTACCTGATTGAGGCAAATTTTCCTTTTCTACACCTAATACATGCTTGACTATGTAGCCATTCAGAAGGCAGTTTCAGAATTTGAAGCATTCTGTAATTTCCTAGAATAGGATGGATTTCAAGCAGACTAGTGCTCAATATTCTGAACTCTTCTCCCTCCAGAGGCTGAGAAGTATTTTCACTTTTTGTTTTCAATTAGATAAAACACACTCTCACACGTCAATAAGACATTCTCACCTTCAGTTAAGACCAATTTCAATAAATTATTGATTTCTGCTTCTCCAGGATACAGGATATTTAAACCAGAGCTAAAGAAAAAAATAAAACCACGTATTACTTAGTGTATTTAAAAGTGAACAAAATAATTTCAACAGATGTGAAAAATGGAATCTCAGCTTAGTATCTGAGGTAGCATTTAGAATTACTATGTAATAGCTTCTTCCAACTTAGAAAGGCATCCTCCAGATTTCAACATTTATATTAGTCATAAAATAAGCAGCTGCTTTCTCCACAAATCTCTTGTAATAAAATATGTTTTATTATTTAGGTCTCAAAGTTTCTTCCAGAGCTATTTGTTACCCTCTGAGAAACTCCTCATTAATCACTTGTATATATGACAGCACAACCATTTTTTCAAGAAACAGACAGATGTCATAAAAAATGGATGAGGGCTTAGAGAACAACTCAGCTCTGGTGTTGGGTAAGAGCTGTGGCTCATCTGTGATAAGAACAATGGCAAATGCAAGAGAGTAATCAATAAGTCACTACTGTTACAGTCTTATACTCAGGAAAGACTGGCTCCTTATAGAAGCTTTAGTTTAAGCTAAGCAGAAGATTCTGGAATGAGCATTTTGGAGACAACACAGCTGTGCATAAATACCCTTGTGGAGATATTTTTCCCTCTAACTTGTGATGAACTTTGTCCTTTCTACATGAATTACCACATCAAGATAGAAGATCACAATAACTTAAAAGGAGTACTTTGTGACTGTCTGAAGTGTTGAAACTATTATGCAGACTTCTTTTCTGGTATGTTTTTCAGCTTCACACTGAGAGCTGAGATTACTGCAGCTTCCCTCCCCCTGGCTCATGCTGACCAAAAGTTATCATACCTTGCAAGCTAAGTTTGAGCTTTCCATTGGTATCAGAACACCGTCAGAAAAAAACAGGAGGAAGGAGACACTACTTAATCCCCACCTCTCATTTTTTCACAAGCCACTGGAGGATATAGGGTTAAACAAGTGCAAAACGCAGCAGCTGTCCATACAGTTGACAGGTTATACTTTTCCCTGTCAAAAAGCAAGACCCTGAAAATGCTAGATAATCATACTAAAGAAATGCTATGCTTCTTCACTCACTTACAGAGTTGCATAAAGCCACTGAAATTTGGAATGCTGTGATTCACACACACAAAAAAATGCAGGTTGATCTTCAGAAGACTTTGTTCTCAACCTTTGGAGCACTTCCCACTTGAAAGCAGATTATATTTGTACTTAGGACGTTTGAGACAGCATTCCTTGTCCTTGAGATTTACATTATCTTGGTTTTGTGATACACAATCCTCCCTTTTGCTCGCTTCCCTGTGCTTAGTCACTCTGCTGTTCTGACAAGCCAGAGAAAAGAAACTACACAGCACCAGGTTCAAGAGATGCAGTAGTTAATATGATGTGGAGCTAAAGCAACCATCCTGTTCAAGTGTTTGATGACCCGGTGTACCAACCCAGAGACATAATGCCCACCCTTCTACCAAAATAGATTCCTGTTTTCTAACATAAAACCTGACTTTCTCCAGCTAGCCTTACTACCCTGCCCATGGTTCACCCTGGATCTCCAGTCTTACAGTATTTCTCAAGTATTATTCATTCTGCTTCCTCTCACGTTCCTTTTGTTTAGGAGAATTTCAGTATTGTCACTTGAAACACTGGTATAACCCCTGACAACATTAGCTTTGCCTACACCAGAACACCAATAAGCCATAGAAATTAAATATGGAAGTCACTCTAGCTATCAATGAAATGCAGAAAATTTTGCTTGAATTCAGCAGCTATATTATAACAAATATTAAAAAAACCTTTAAAGAGAGCCAATAAAAAGCAACAAATGAAAAGAGGCATGGAAAGTAATGACTACCTGTTATTTCACTGTCAACAAGACAAACACACTGTATTTCCCTTCTTCCACAAATATAAATCCTAGTAATTTTATTACTATGTCAACCTAAATTTTATTATATTAAAATTAAACTGCTGAATACAATTTGAATGTTCATCTGTTACATTTTCAAATAATCTAAACCCTAAGTTAAGATTAATTTGACAAAACATATTTACCTAATAGCTAGGCAAACCTCCTTCTGAATCTCAGAGCAAATCTGATCCCTTGGTGCCATCAGTAATTGCCAAAGTAATAGGCCAGACCTTCTAACAATATCTCTGTTTCTTTCAGTTTGTGGGCTGAAGAAAAATTTAAAAACCACCTAAGAAAAATTAAACACAACAATATTAAAAAATTAAGCAGTGTTCACATTAACTCTTTTTCCACATGCAGTTTTGCAAACTATTTGACTAGGGTATCTTAGAATCAGAAAGTGACTTTGGATCAAAAAAAAAAAAAAGAGAAAAAAAAGGAAAAAAATAAGGAAGTGACTGCTCTGGATTTTATTTTAATCTGTAAAGGTGGTAATTACATTTAGTTTAGGACCCTTAAATGCGTATATGATACTGCAAAGCCACCCTCCATTAAACTGAATGCAATGGAGGAAAAAAACAAACAACTAATAAAATCAAGTAGAAAAGTGGATGTCTGTATTTTAAAAGAACATTTTTTAAATTGTGAAGTAGATTTAAGATGCCCTCGTACCTGAAAGACAACAAGGATACAGCATATTATACAAGTATCTCCATTCACCATAGCTTTTTCCATAATGTCACAAATACTGCTGAGATGATGTGCTTCAATTGGATGTTGCTTGCCCAAAAAATTGGTTATGGGAAGATTGTTGCTGGCTGCAAGCAGGTTGAGTTGGTGGATACACATGGCACCAACATGGTGCAGTAACTGGTTAATAACCTCATTTGTGGTTGCTGCATCTCCTAGAAGAAGAAAAGCAGTTCAAATGCTGTCTACAAACACAGACTCTAGCATTAGCATTTGCTTCTAAAATGCAATATATCACCATCATAATCTCCAACTTCAGGACAGCCGCCCACAAGATAAACAGAAGAATTACCCACATCACTTTTTTAATGTGCTAAAGGCAGCGAGAACCTGGAAACCTCCAAACACATATCACTTTTTGCTTTTTCCTTTCTTAAAGCAATGACAAGTCATGACCAATATTTATAAATAAATTTTAAAGAATAAACTCAACTTTCTATTAACAGTTTCAGAAGGTAATTTCTATATATTTATTCTATGATAATTGCACATTTTGCTTCCACTCTGTATAAAATGTTGACTTGTAGGTTTGCCTCACCTTTGGGCTCTGCAATGACGTGACTCACTCCCAGTCTCTGACAGACACAGTGGAATGCCTGGTTCCCAGGATTACACCATTGATCAATATAATCATTGGAGCATGTCCAAATCATGTTATTCATAGTATCATAACAGGCACCTATGAAAAGGAAAATATTTTGCACATCAAATTTTAGAATGTTTGTTAGAAAATTCTAACACAGACTTAAGTATTTTTATAGCTGATATAAATCCAAATTATTTGCTTTAAGAGTTCTCTGTCACACGACAGCAATTTAACAACAATACACTGCAATGAAAAGGAGATTTCTTAATGAAGGAATGAAGTGAATGAAACATCAAAAGGGCTGTACAAAGTAAATGTACAACAGCATCTGTTTCAGATAAATACTCCAGTTCAAAATACAAAATAATCAAAAGATGACTATTAACAAGCAGGTTGAAAACTAATAAACAAACAAACAGAGTCCTGAAGAAAACACTCATGAAGTTTCAGTCATAAAGTGACAGGAAGATCAGAAATACCCACAGTGTCTTTCCAGCTAAGATGCATTTATGTATTTTCATATATAGAGCCAAGATACTCAGAACTTTGTAGCACCTTACAGCATAAGCAAGGTATTAAAAAAAAATCAGATCATTCTTCTTCTAAGATTGCTTTCTGCTACAGAAAACACTTTTCTTGAGCTTGTATGCAGCTGAAACTGCAAAAGCAAGATACTGGAAATTCCTTCAGGGAATTGTGAACTTTCAAAAATGTTAAATTTGCAAAATTTCACCATAGAAATGAAACCCCATCAACTGCAGAATTGCTTACTGCAAATTAAAATCCAGTCAGATTATTTAGAACCTAAGGGTTGGAAAAGTCTAGTTCTGAAATATTCCCAGAAAAGAGATCTACTTCTTACCAAGTCCTGGGACTAGAGCACCACGTCCAAGTGAGCTTCCTGCAGCATCAATGAGATCTGCTCGGCTTGTGAACTGCCCGTCCGAAATATTGAACACCAAGCTTGAAGCCAGAACTACACAGGGAAAAGTCTCCAATAAATTTCTGAGAAGTTTAGTGTATTTCAGAAAACTAAAGGCTTTAACTCTGCCGCAAATGTATCCGACTTACTTTTTAAAGATGACAGAGCACTTGTCCCTCCAAAGAGCGAGCGTGTCGCAGAGCTGCCTGATCCACCTGGGGGTGGGACCAACATCACCAAGTACGTTCCACATGTGTATATCGGAGTCTTCCTCAACATTTTCAGCGGCAGCCCACAGCTAGTGTTTGCAGCTGACAAACAGAAAAACGTAGCACAAACATGCATTTCTTCCTAACACCAAAAACTCATCAGAAGAGGCAGCAAACAAGGCAGATTTCTGTTTAGGGCTTCAAATAAACCTATATGGAAATTCATTTAAGCTACATTTTGCAGTATTTAGAATTTGTTTGAAGAAGTTGTATACAGGGGTGGCCTCATAATCCCACACATCCAGCATCTATCCCCAGAAGGGTAGTTTCATAGGCTATTGAACTAAAGAGAACAACTTATAAAGAAAAATAACTAAAAAACCAAAAGACAGCAATCTCTAATTTCCAAACCAGGAAAATTTGGAGCCTGAAATTTAAATATAAAACAAACTTTTTGAAGAATAAAACATATTGAAAGCAGCATCTTAGAGCCAAACAGTCTCATAATATAGAGATCATTTGAGATTCCCTAGGCATTTACTATTTTAAGTTCTCCTGCTCCACTTGAAACGTATACAGTCAAAATGATCTAGCTCCTGCCACTGCTGATCAACACTTTTCTGAGCAATGACTACAAAATTATCCAAGAATAACTTCTTATTCTTCTTCTGTAGCACTCTAGTTGTTAACTGGCAAAACACAGCTTTTAAAATAGCTCTTCAAGCTAACTCTTTGTCAATTTCCCTGTAAGCACATCTATTTCCTGTGTCATTTATTTTTATGGAAATACCTTTAATTTTTTAAAATCAAAGAAAGAAAACTCATGTACATATGAAGAAAGAAGAGAAGTAATTCAGGATAAACTGAATAAAATCCTATCTTAAGACAAATCTAACAAAGCCATCGATACTGTTCAATCAGGATTCCCTAATTAACATGGGCAGTTTCAGCAAGCCCATAAAAGAAAACCCAATTGTGCAAATTACCTTAAAAAAGCAAAATCACCTCTGATTTCTAATATTCAACTTACTTGTGAAACACTAGTTTAAATTTTCTAGACTGCTGGCCATTTTTACATAACAATTAGAAGCCCAGTTGAACTGCCAGCAGAGAAATTTAATTATCAGTTGGATCAAATGTGGCATAAATCACCAGTCCTATAATTGTGTGAGGGGAAAGAAAAGGGTGCTACAAGTGTTCTTCTTGATTTGAATTCTTAAACTTTTCTCACAATGAATGCCTAAGTTAGCAAAGGAACTTGTAATTCAAGCATTAAGTACTACATATATATTTCAAACACCTTTTTTGGGGGGAAAAAAAAACCCCACACTTTTTTTGGTGTCCTAAATGTGTCCTAAGAGGTTAGTAATTACTAGAACTGAACATACATGTTAAGAATCAAACCACGAAAAATTACTGAGCATCAGTAAAAGCTGTTCTGACCTGCTTGGTCCTCTTTCAATGTATTGGAGATTGTGGAGCCCGTGAGAGCAGCCAGTGTTGCTGACGGGGAGGCTCTGTACCTAGACAGCCTACTCAGAAGCATCTCGTTGATACTCTTTGCAGATTCACCCTCTTTTCTCATTAATATAATTCGTTCCTGTAGAGGATTTGCCATACATACGCCATTTTCAACCTATTAAAGTGGAAGGGAAAAAATACTTTTAGATATTGAAATTCGTAGGACAGAGATTACCTTAATTGAACAGCAAAATTGAACAAGACGATACATCAAGGAGGGTTACAAACTTAAACCCTTCTGGCAGAATTTCTTACAAAAAAGTGTTATAAAAGCTAGCCAGATGAGTATTTGTACTGTTTGTGACTCTGTGGTTCAATATAGCATCTTCTATTTTGTCTGTCCTCAAAGGCATAACTGCTTGTCATAATCTTAAGTTTATTTATGGAACTCTACTTAAAAAAATATTTAACCTCCCTGTATTCTTAATAATGTTTCACTGGCAAGTTTTGTAAAAAGACACCTTTAAATCATTTGTCATTTTCTGTTAAAAATTATTGCATAAACACATT